TTGTTAACTTTTTAAACAATATTATTGAAACCTAATTTAAAGACCTAATACATTGTGATATTAAGTATAATAAGTGAGTTTTAATATTTAATAAATTCCACTATCTATCCAATGGTCACAAAACCATTGGATCTCTATCAATTAAATCTTAAATTAGGTACAACTAATATTATTGTTAACTTTTAGACATGTTTCAGACATGTCCAAATATGTTTTGAAATATTGATGTTATTTTATAATTTTTTAAAATTGTAGGGTTATTTCATTATAAAAATGTATGTCGTTATGTTGTAATTATAGGATTATAAATCGAAGATTGTTACCATGATTTTATATATAAAATAAATATTTGATAAAATTAATTTGTAACCCTTTTAAATAATAAAAATATATTAGGGTCAATTGTAAGTGATAATAATTAGTCGCATTCTCAATAAGAAATTTTAATTATTATTTTTGTGTTCATGTTATGTATATCAATTTTTAATTTTCTATGCTTAAAACGTATTAAATATAATTTCAATAAATATAAATTTATGAACTTTTATAGTCTATTAAAAAAAAATTAAAACATGCTAGTGTGCCTACCCTAAAATTTTTTCCTACCCAACCCGCCATTTGCCATCTCCAATACTAATATTTCATGATCGATCATGAATTACCTCAAGCAAGTATACCGTAACTTGACCTACAAAATTAGTAACTTTGTACCAAAAAAAAAATCCATTTTTTTTTTTTGGTCATCCGAATTTTTTTTCCAATACCAGCAGTAAATAAGGCAACGTGGCCGCTGTCAATGGCCCACAATTAAAGCTGCCTAAGCAAAGTCAGGGGTTAGAGGCAACATGGTCATTTTATCGATCAATGGGCTAACTAAAAACAAGTGCTGACAAAGAAGAAAAAGCAGATCTAAACTTCCTTCATGGGCTTCAAAGAAATCAAAAAACATAAGCCCACACAAATTCAAACGTCAAAGAATACCATCAATAGAAAAAAAAAATTTCACAATTCTGTACATACTCCAGAACAGAAAAAAACCAGATGACCATCATCAAGAAACAAACAAAACTATCTTGAATACAACAACATCAACACAACGTCAATCTAATTTTGGGCTTTCAGTAAATCAGCACACAAGCCCAGAAAATTAAAAAAAAGACTTCATTTCGAGATCAACCCGAAATATAAATCTACAAAATCAGAAAAGCCAAGTGATCTTCACAAATCAACTATTAAATCAGACATGAACATTAAATCTAAAGATAAAACAATAGAAATAGACTATGAAGAAAAAAAAAGTCAAAGTTAGGGTTTGTACCGACACAAACGGTGATTCTGAGGGAGACCCAGAACCAGAAAAGTGAATCCCAGGGAGACCCAGGTGAAGAAACGACCAAATTTTGTGTAAATCTGAAGCTTAAAGCACGATTTTCAGCTCTCTGCAACTGAGATCTAGGGTTTCACAGAGAGAGAGAGAGAGAGAGAGAGAGAGAGAGAGGAGAGAGAGAGAATTGGGCTTGAACCCGAGAAATCTAATTGGACCTTTTCTTTTGGGGTTGTTGGGACTGCTAAAGTGATAAGGTTTGGGGGGGGGGGGGAGGACAAAAATTAAAACGTTTTGGATATGGACTTTCAGGTCCATTTATTTACTTTGGTTTGTATTTTATGTGTGTGTCTGTGTGTGTGTGGATGGGTGGATGGTGGCCTGGTGGGGTGGGTGTTCTGTAGAGCCATAGGACTCATGGGGGTGGCTCAGCCAAAACAGACTCAATGAAGGTACCAGTTGAAAAAGGGGCTGACCACACAGCCCACTTTTGGGGGGTTTGGTTAGGTATTGGAATGGTAGTGGCTAGGGTGTAGGTGTAGCCCACTGAATTTATGTGTAAGCTGTGTGTGGACTCTGTTTGGTGTGGGGGGGCCTACAGGGGTGATTCTTTTGAGAATTTAAAATTAGCCCAGCGATGTCCACAAAATTTCAATCTTGGGACAGAGTCCAACATAAATCAGCGAGTGATCTCTATTCAAATCTTTCCCTAGTCTTATAATCCTAAAAGAATTTATTATTAAAAATAATGGAAGATTTGTTTTTACTGATTTTCCCATAAATTTTAATAGCTGTGGTCCCTCACCCTCCGGCAACCCAGCACCACCCCTAATCCCCCCTCAAAAACAACCCCACCTTACACCCGCTCTTTAGTCAACAACTGTCTAAATGATATGACTTTAAGGTTTCATAATTTGATACGTAATTTAAATTCTCTCTACAAATGCCAATTTTTTTTTTTAATCTTCCTATGTTATACTTTACGAAAATCTTTATGGATGTGTCAAAGAGGCAACTATGGTCTATTAGAAGTCTATCCGGGCAAATTTCTAATATTGGGGCAAAGATGTGATCCAATTATCCAACATGGGTTGGAGCGTTGGAGGGGTCTTTCTCCCTACTCTTACAACGTTAATAAGAATGTCTCTCACCTACGAATACGGTGGGTGATATTTTTCTGGATGCATCTTAAAGGAGTTAAGGAAGCGTATGACCACCGATTGGGGTGGTCCAATGGAGTATCAATCAAACTTTTTCACCTTAAAATTGAAGGTTTGAGTCTTAGAATCTATACTAAGACTACCACTATGTTGACCTAAGTTCGTTTTCGATAGGAGTAATGGACACGGTTAAGGGAATCACGAACCCACCAATAAGAACATATTAGGGTGATTTTTGAATACTCTCCTTTGCTCCCACATTTTTTTTCCTTAGCTAAAAAAAAGGTAAGCATATGTTAAAGTGTATTTTCATGAATTAACTCATAATTTTTATAAAATATTAATAAGAGAATTGTGCTGTCAATAACTCCAACTGAGTCTCCAACACCCCCCCCTCCTCGGGCCGACCCAAAGCCCACGCCCACGCCCACCCCCACTTTACTCATCGTTGAACCCCAGCTAAAAATATATGGGATTTTTGGAAGTCGGTACACCTAATTAGACTTATTTGACAAAAATTACATCTTAAAAAATATTTTGGAAAAAGGTACATTAGTTTTTTTTTTTTTGATAAATAAGGTACATTAGTTAGATACAAAGATATAAATGCTCATTTTAGAAAAATGGTGCATTAAATATCTCCTAATTTTATGAGAGAACTTTAATATTTAATACACATTGATTCATGTATATATATATATATATATACAAACAATTATATATAAATACGTATAAATAAGTATATATAAATACGTATATATATTTATATATGTGTAAAGTGTAACATTTAAAGTGTAAAATATAAAATATTACCTTATGTCTCACCTTATTTAAAAAAAAGTGTAAAATGTTACATGTTAACATTGAAAGTGTAACACTTTCACACTTTCTCAATTAATTAGCATTTTTAGTGTAAGATGAGACATGTATATTCTGTTTGTGTAACACTTTAGGTAATGCCTCCCCTTACCTTCTGTAAATAGCTTGTTATATTGTTATTGCTACACTATTATTGTTTCTTTCAATATTATCTTATAACACTTTATACTTTCCAGTAAGAAATGTGAGACATAAGATAATACTTTACACTTTCAATGTTACATTTTACACTTTCAAAAATGTTACACTTTATATATATATATGTATATATATATTAACAAATACACATGAATTAAATATGCATTAAATACTAAAGTTCTCCCATAAAATTAAGAGATATTTAATGCACCATTTTTCAAAAAACATACACATGGATCAATGAAGGACAAAAATGTCACAAAAAAATTAGGCAAATTCAAATTGTGTACTTAGATATAAATAAATATCAAAATTAAGGATTTAATAACCCTATATTTTTTAGTGTATATTTTTTGCCAAATAAGTCTAATTTGGTACACCCCTTACAATTTATCCAAAAAATATTGGGTTTACTTGATTCCCTACTTGAATTCTTATTCGATTATTTCTGATAGAATTCGAGTAAAAATAGTATATTTGATTGGATAGGATATATTAAAAAAAATTATTTCACAAAATATCAAGTAAGAAGGTAAAATATTATAATTTTTATTCGTAAAGTAAAGTAGGACGAACACAGCTGCTTGATATGATTTTATTGGGCCCACTAAAAATCAACTTCTAATGCTACCTAATTCAAGAAGAGCAATGTTACTCTCGCTACAAAAAAGAGATAAACAATAATATTCAAATGACGTGACATAATAAGTAATATTTAATAGTAAATGAATAAAAATAAGAAAAAAATTTGTAATTATAGTATCGCATTATTTAATTTTTATTTTTGTTCAATCTAACATTACTAGTCTAAGACTGCTTCAAAAAATTGAGAACCTAAAAAGAAAATACTTTCCTTTATTATTTTAAGAAAATTAACGCTATATGATCTTATTTTCCTTATCTAACTCGTTAGTGGCATTAGATCGACAATAAATTTCACAAAATATTAGAATTTAGTGTCAATCATAGAACAATAGAGTTGTAAGTCGACAATGAAGGGTTCAAATAATACTACTATTAATTTAAAATGTTTTCTATTTGCCTCTAATAGTCATAACATCTATTATATGTGATAAACCATTAAATGCAATATGATATTACGGCATTATTATCTCTTTGTATCGCTAGCTAATAATAAATTAAAAAATTTATTTAATTTGGTAACTATCGTATTAACAAAAAAATAAATACAAAATTATTATTAAATAATAATAACACGCGATAATAGTGACATATTGTTATTATTAAGATCAATCTACTATTAAATTTTTTATATTTTTAATTCAATGGTTGAGAATGTCCGAACTAAATATACAATTCTCAATTCGATTAAAAGAAAATTCAAATTAATTTACCCATATTTCAATTAATCATTTTCAGTCCGATTATAAATTGATTATTTACTGCAAGACTAAAATATTATTAAGAAATTTAATTTAAGGTATGGAAATCGGAGGGGTCATTCCACCAATAAAACAGTTTCTTTCCACTTTCTCGGAAACACATACACCAGAGAGAGAAAAGTGAGTGCGAGTGTTTTGCTTCCGCCATAACTGATAAAGTGAGCGAGGAACCATAAAGCGCTTCACAGGCTGAAGAGAGAGAGAGATGGATACGGAAAAAGTGACGCCGTTATCATTGTCGTCATCGTTGCTATACGCTGGAGAGAGGGATGGAGAGAGAGGCGCCGGAGGGAAGTTGAGGAAACCGCCGACTAAGAAGCCTCCGGCTACTCCTTACGACCGTCCTCCGTCAAATCAGTCCGCCGCCCAACGCAGCAATGGTAGTTGGTTTTCGAAGCTCGTTGATCCCGCTTACCGGCTGATATCGGATGGCGCCACCAAGATCTTACCCTCTTTCTTCTCCAAATCACAGTCCACCGCCGCTCTTCCTCTTTCCAACTCCGGTGATGACGGTGAGTCACACATAATACGTGTACGTGCGTGTGTTTACGTCTATGTCTTGTTCAAAGATTAGGGCTTTGTAATTTGGGCTGCTTTTGGTTTAATTTCTACGGAGAGGTAGTGTCAATTGCACATTTCTTAACGTTTTGCTTCACTGTTTATCATCTGTTTTGGTTTTAGAATGAGATAGAGTACGTTGGGTCATGCCATTCTAGTGAATTAGGGTTTTAAACTTCCATCGTTTTTCTTTCCAGTTCAATTGGTCTTTGTAGCCCCTTAGTTTATGAAACGCGCTTACAAGGTGATTGGTTTGGGATTAGTTCGTCAATGAGGGAACTCTATTGAGGTGTAAGTACTTCGATTGCAAATGTTTTGGCTGAGTGGATTTGGAAGGTTAGTTTGACGAAGTATTTATAAGGGCGGGGCTTATCAAATATGTACAAGACTTGTCTATATGTTGATTACATGTATGCTGAAATTTACATATTATTTTGTTGAATTATTGCATGAAAAGTTTCACTTTTTAATCTTATTAATGGAGAAAAATGTACCATTTTATTCAGTGTGCTGCTTTGGTTATCGTTAGATTGTCAGAACAATACCTCAATTTAATCATTGCAAACGAGTCTCACGAAAGTTATGGTTAGAGAAAGACAAACTAGTCTATGTAATTATGAGCCTTATTTAACCTTAATTGATTCCATTGTTGGCTTAATTTGGCTGTAACTTCATATTAGTCACCATACCTGAGCTAGGGAAAGAGTATATGGTTAAGTTAGCGCTCTAGGTTTGCGAGTTGTGTTCTGCATTCTTGTGAATTGCTTTTAATATGATTTGTGTGAAAATTGAATCTGGTAAGATTCAAAATGAGACGTTTGAGTTTAACAAAACTAATATGTGGTGAGAAGTCCAGAACACAATCGTGTCCATCTTACAAAAAAAATAGGAAAAAAACACGATCGTGCCCACTATGTACTATTTTTTTTCCCCTGGGTGGCTACAAATAAAGTTAGGACCCATGTTCAAGGATGTGGCAGGGATGACCTATCTTTGGAGGGTAATATGGAGAATCATTTGAATACGGTTTATATAACCTATTTATGCAAGGGGAAGGTGCTTGTGAGTGAAGAGAGTGAATAGAAGGGTGGAGTGGCTTTTCTCTAGACATTCTACTACTCTACATGTAACTAAGGTGTAATTGAGGATAATCTAAGCGTTGCATAGTTACGAGGTGTCATTTTGGTTTTGCCTTAATAAGGTGACCATGGAATTGATGGGGTGTCGTGGTATACAGTAGGATATTGATTTTTGCAAGTTTTAAGAGAGGTTGATAGATTTTTATTGATTGTAGGTTGTAGTATAACAGCAGGAGGCGTTTTGGTGGGTTGTGAGAGAAAGCTTGGTGGATTTCACTTGTTTTGGGAGATCATTCTCTGCCTTTGCAAGTTTGCATGTAAGGAAAGTAATTTTTTTATAGTCCTTAGTTTGTGCTATTACAGGATCATTGGAACTTTGTGGCCGACTGGAATATTGAAACTTTGTGGTTGGACCCTTCATTTTGTGAATTGGGTTATAAAATTAGTATATGAGCTTTATGGGATGTGTACAGGGTGTTTGATGGATTCCTTTTAAGGATGTGTACATATATGCCGCTGTTGCTGGTGATGATAGTTGTGAAAGAAATTTTGATATTCAGGAAGATTGATGTTTCGATATACTGCCATTATATTTTTGGTTGTTTAATCCAATTAGAGATCCAAAGTTTTGTAGTAAGAAGTTGGGTATTTAGAAAATTGGTCATTTTGAAGGCGGGCCTTGGCGCATTTGTATAGTTACCACATTGTGACTTAGGCATCACGGAAACCATGTCTTTCATGCTAGGGTACAACTCTATACATCTGACTCATCTCTAATCCTACAGTGGCCCGAGAGCCTCATATAGTGGGTTGTGCTTCTTAGGAACTTTTCCTTCCATTATTTTCTAGTAGCTACTGTATTTGTTTATTTTCAAGTTTATTGTAGTATTATCAAATTAGTAATAAACATAGCTATATAACGCTCTTTTTTTGACAAATAGCTGTTTATAGTCTACGTTTTTTCTCTAGACCTTTATTTTCTCTAATTTTATCATGGACAAATTTATTTGTTTTGCCATAATGACTGTTTAATCTGTGTTCCATTCAGGTTATCTTATTTTGCATTTTCAGATTCATTTATTTACCATTTTGTATCAGTTCCACAGGGCACTAAGTTGATACCAAATGCCAGTGACAATGACAAAACCGCTTTAAATGTAAGTTTTGTCCTTTTTTATTTTTTTGCTGTCTATGACTTTCAAGGGCAATGGTGCTACATATAAATCATAAATATTTTTCCGCATCTGTTAAACTGCATTTCTTAGTTAATGCATTATGTATACCATTAATCTTCATTGTGGGCATGTCATGGCACTATATCATGTTATGGTAATAATAAATTTGTTTTTCTATGGCGGGTAAATCATGCCATTACTATGATTGTATTTTTATTATGGAACTTGTGTGTTCAAGTTGGTGCTTTTGTGCATGACACGATTATTCTAATATTTAAACTAAAATTTTTTGGCAATCATGTTCATGCAGCTTGCAATAGTTAGATCCCCTGGAGAAGCAGGTCCTAGCAAAGTTGCTGATAGATTCAAGGGCAATGCAGAATGTAATAAGCTGGAACAAGATAAAACAAGTAACCTGTCTGATGATTGTGAATTTTCTAAAATTGAGCAGCTGGTGAAAGGGAATAGATTTTCAAGGTATTGTCTTACTTTCTTGGATATCTAGTCATAATTGATTCATATCTCTAGGGAAGTGTTCTTACAGCATAATTTTGATTATTATGATGAAATATCTTGCTTTTGATCCATATAGGTGTCCTAATAATTTGATAGTTGTTAGAGAGAGACAGTTCGTTTCTTGTTGGAGATGTGCACTAAAAAGAAAGAGGAATCATTTTTTCTGGTCCTCGAAACAGGGGCAATATATGTTTTATTTTTGTAATTGTGTTTTCTCTGGGTAACAGCTTTTTTGTTGAAAGACACAAGGTTTAGATTCTGTGATAGGCGACCCTTTCTAAAATCCTCTTAGGTTCTCGGGGAATGCATTTGGGTGCATAATGTTGGACAGAGCTGAGGCTAAAAAACCTGATCTTTGTACTTTCCTTTTTTCCCCCCTTCAGAAAATACACCGATTAAACCCAACTTCTGAAATACTTCTTCATATTCCTCATGAAGCCTTTTTTATTGTCATAGATTAATCATTGACATTATGCATTTCCTACTTAATATCTTCTTTTAAGCTGCAGGTTAAAGCATTATCAAGCCTCAGTTCAATTGTTTTCATGTGATGGTGAACAACTGGGAAAGATTTACAAGCACGATATAGGAACACATGGGTCTTTCTTTGTGGTTTCTTAAGATTGTCCTCATGCGTACTTGCTGGCATATGACTGTTGGGTGTCCCTATTCCTTCATGTCCTTTCTGTTCTCTTTTTTTGCCCTCAAGGAAGTCATTGGTTGCTGCATACTTGAACACACAGAGACACATCATTACAAATAATGTTTTTTTCATGCTACCATTTGAATTCTTTCAATTGCTGTGTAGGGATGACATCAACCGTTTGACAGACATATTAAATTCTCGGGTTGTTGGTCTTTCTGATGTTGAGCGGGAAAAGCAGCCACCAAGAATGACCTCTGGTGAAGAAGCTGAAGGGGTTTTATTGGCCTGTGAAAATTCAAGAACACCAATTGAAGGAAAACAGAAAGAGACAGACAGAGCTTTATTGGGAACCTCAACAACCCTTCTCCAATCAAATGTGAGTGTATTGTCACCATTGCAAGTGGTTCATATGGTTGAAATTCTCGGTGCCCTCATTTTCTTGATCATATCTACTTTTGGGTTAAAAAGCGTCATAAACTTGACTTGTTTTTCATATCGTGTATATATTATACATTTAACTTCCCCTGTAATAGTGCTTGACCCAAAACAAAATTTATAAAATACATGTATATTTCATGGAATGTAGTGAAATGTAGAACGACCTCCATTTCACTTTCTTGGAAGCCCTAATGTCAGAAGATATGTCCTTTTTATCTATCATCAGAGCAAAAGTACACATATATCTCTAGAAAAATTTGCAGGATTAGACATAACCTTGATAACTTGTGAATAACCCTGCCTAATATTTATTTATCTGTAAGAGACTGCAATATTAAAGAAATAAATTATGTTTATTGTATTTTTATATTTATAATTTAGCAAACTGCTATATTTATGATGGGTCAGTTTATTTTAATTTCTCCAATTGCAGATTCTTTTGTCCTATAACATCATTAGTTATCGTTTTGAAATAAATAAGGAAAAAAGGTACATAATGATTTTCTGTAATTGTTCCCTGGCATGTCAGCTTGTTTATCCTCATAAAGCCCGTTGATAAATGCCCAGATCTCAATTAGGTGTAGAAGAGGTTGACAACAAACTGCTTCAGCCTTTGGTTATAGTAAAGTTTCCAGTAATACGTATATAAGAAATGACTTTTTCTATGTGGATTCAATCAAACATTTATATCCTCCTTTGCTACTTTTGCTTCTCTTGGTTATCGTAAACATAAATTAGTTTAGCTATGGCCATGCATTCATGTTGCAGATGTAGCACTCATCAGGCGTAAGACTTAGAATTGACACAAGGGGGGAACATAGCATTCATCAGGACTATATGTAAATGCTCAAGAAAACAATAAAAAACAAAAGGAGAAAGAAGCAAGGAGGAAAAAGGGTAAAAGGTTCCTTAAGACAAAATCATCTATAAAAGAACTAAGACCAAAACTCCTGTTAAGTGCTCATTTCAAATTGGTTAAATATCCAACATCATGACTTGAGAAGAGAGAAAAATAACATAATTGTAGATTGGGAAACGTGAAGAAAAAGAAAGTGTTGGACAGTCTGGATGTATCAATGCAAGAGGAAAGAAGAGGGAGAAGAAAGCCTTAAGAACAGAGATGGTTCTGGAAGATAGGGTTTTGTGAGCTTGTGGATAAATCTATTGTCAAAAGTCATACAATGATCTATTGCTTTTAGTATGAACCTTGCCGCTTGCTGTGAACTTAAGCCATATTTAGTTAGATCCCCCTCATTTTATCTCTGGTTGCTGCTCTTTCCAACTTCTCATCTTCCTATAATCAACAGCATTGTATCAGGAGGATTGCTCAAGTCCTTGTGATCTATACCCTTTGTACTACCAATAGGCTGTTTCTCTTTATGAGTTAGAATGCCTCTTGATCCATGGGAGATTGGGATCGAAGATTGTGCTTTCTCACAACTTGGATTGAAATATAAACAACTATGGTTATACTTGAACAATAAAGAGAAGATTTGTAGAAAAGGTGAAAAAAATTCAGAACCCATAGAAGGTAATGAAAGATTATAAAGCTTGTGAGCCACTCCTGCACTGCCTTTTTTGTTTAAGGTTCTTTTCCATCTTTGCTCTTACTGATGAACAAGTTTTGATTATTATTTGCCAATATTCCGAAGCTGTTAAACAGCTGCATGTGTTTCATGTCGTGTGCATTGTAACATAGTTTGAAATACATGTTGCTTTGCATTTTTTTCTCAATTTTAGTTTGTGAGAAAGTGTGATTACTCTATGAAATTTTGCAGGTGCGTGTTGAAGTTGGTGCTTCACCAGTTGATATTGCTAGAGCTTATATGGGAAGTCGGACATCAGATATAGGCCTTGGTTCATATACTGCTATATCTGAAAATGAAAGAGTTCTACAACGGCACGATGAATATGCAATAAAGCCATTTATTCCATCGTCTTCACATAAGTCATCCACTTGTTGGCCAGGTGCCATGGTACAGGATCAGTATGGTTATATAACCCCACAAAGTCAACGAGGTAGATTCGGGCTTCATAATTTACCACGAACCCCTTATTCCAGAACTATTTTCTCAAAGTCCAAGTCCAAGGTATGTGTAAACGTTTCTCTTGGAAATGTATTAACTGTGCTTTGTTGCATATGGAATGATAATTTTATTGTCTCCTCCATGTTCTCAGCTGACTCAATTACAAGCTGATACTAGGGGCACAAACAGTTCGCCATCTCCCTTTCAGCAAACTCCTACTCCCCTATATGGACGGGTACACATTGTCTGAGCTGTCCTTGTGTAATTGTTTGCATTGATAATGATGCTGTGTAGTTTATTACGCATCTTTGACAGTTTGTCGAATTTTGGGACATGTCTCGGTGGCATGCACTCTTGTAGGTCATATTCTAGCTACATATCTGGTACATAGAGGAAGAAATCATTTAAAGAGATTACAACCTTTAGTTTTCTTGCGTTATTGATACATTCTAATACCCTTTTTGATTTTCTTACTTCCAAGTTCTTTTGAATTTAATGAACTTAATACCGTGCAATTGTTATTAATGAACCTTGGGCCTTTCAAAAAAAAAGTAAAGTTTCTATGGGAAGTTCCATTTATATCTCGGTCTTTGCCATTCTGGCTATAGCTTGGGTTCAACTGGATTAACCCTGTGATGCTAGTTGTCATCATCTTTATGATTAGAAGTTAAATTAATTCCTGGAATTAAGTCCTACATATATCGTAGGAGAAAGAAGAAAATGGTGTGAAATCCTGTTAATTTACTCGGAGAAGCAATATTTACTTCTCTCCAAGTCTACATGTGGCCTGAACTTTAGGAAATAGAAAAACATGGTAGAATCTATTATTTTCTTTTTTCACAGCTTTGGTGCTACTGAGTCCTGACTACTGACTACATAAAAGAAACCGTCCTCACCCCCCTTCTTTCTTTTTTCAGTTCAGGGCCATTTTATATCTTCTTGGCCCGTAAATAGTGTAGTAAAGTGAATGCATTCTAAATTCTAGTTCTGAAACTCAGGGTCTCATTCATTTTTATTACTTGCCTGGATCTTCTTCATTGACGGAGCAGCTCATTTAGCAGATTTTTAAGGAAATTTTAGCCTTTTAGATTAAGTTTTGGAAAAATTTTCCTTTGTATCTGTTCCTAGATAGTACAGTTTAGATTTTAGCAATGAATGTATGTGATTTAGATGGACTTTAGAAATATATTTTGTTAAGTTGGTTCAAGGGGGCTATAGCTGGTTCTAAGAAACATTATTAAGAAGCATTTGGCTTCCTGTGTCTTCCAATAACGTGTCTTAATGTATTTGGCTACAATTTCTTAATCCCTCTCATATGTTGAATTAAATTCTGAAGTGCAACTTCTGTGCTTTTTTTTTTTTGTTTATTTCTTTTGAAACAAATAAATGAAGACAAGGAGTGATGCATTGGATGATGGCTATGGCTCGGTTGGACCTATTCGGCATATACGGAATAAGTTTGCTTCAGAAGCTCGACACAGAGGATCTATTTCCATATATTCTTCTCAAAGAGCTTCTCCACAGGTAGAAAAATCCAGTGTTTCCAAAGGTTTCTTGCCTGCTATGGAAAAGAATATGGAACTTGGTGGAACAAGTGGTGCTTCAAAGTACCAGTCAGTAGAGCATATGGTGCACAGTTCTGAAGAGGTTGCCCCAACTTCTAATCCTCCATGCAATGAGGTTCTTAACAAAATAATTGAGCACCTTGATAGACACAGGCCCACACCTGCAGAAAAAGCAGCTGAGTTGAAGCTAGCCACTGAATGGAAAAAATCTTCTCCTTCTGAAGTCACTGGTGTCTTGCCAAAGGAAAATTCCAGCTTACTACATCTAGGAGGGATTGATTCGCAAAAAAACATAGATTTAGTTGACAAGAAACTTTCTGCTGGAGGAAATGGTGATAATGGGAAGTCAAATTATGATGTTAAATATCAGGAGAGAAGTAATAATGAAGCTACTAATGCTATAGATGGAAGTATTAAAGCTTCTAGCGCAGTCATTGGTGATACTGGTGTGACAGGTGACGCCAATGCAGGGCCTACGTTAGGTTTCAAAAATACATGTGACTCTCGAATCATGAGCACAAATAAGGTACTTTCACCTCCTTTAATTTTCCTTTGTTTTGACGGAAGTGTTTCATTCTCTTCCATGACTTGTGTGTTGAACTGATGCAAAACCGCTACAAAATGTTTGGCTTGTTATACATTTTCAATAGCCATCTTTATGTTTTGCATTAATTATTCATTATTAGCATGGACTAGTTCGGATTTTAAGGACGGACACTGATACAGTGATAAAGTTGTTCTATTATGACATGGATGCCACAAAATTTTTCTGCAAGCATTCGTACATCTAACCCTTCTTCTCAGATCTTGTAGTATTGGAAGTCTTGCGAGTTAGACTAATCTTTTAGACCTTTTAGCTGTAAAGTATAAACTTACCATTGTGGTCCTTGCAATTGTAATGTCCACCTCATATCATGAATTAAGTGTGGTCTGTTAGGAATTTTTTTAGGCTTAAGGTGACGTATGTTTATTTTTTCTTATTTTCTTCTGAATTGGATGGTTTGTGATTCTTTTCGGGTTTAATCATCTCATGCATGCTTTGAAATTATGTTTCCTCCTTTTCTTGGGTATACTTCAAAATTTGATAAATACCGTTTGATAATGCTTATTTTAAGTGCTTTTGTTGCTTTTTTGCTTCTTTGAAGTATTTTTTTAAGTAACATTTCTTCTTGCATTTTTACTTTTTGGCATTTTCCATGTTGGGTCATACTCTCTTCTTGTTGTGGTAGTGTAGTAGAATCATCACCAATGGCATGCTGTGCACCTATATGCGAAAAGACATTGCAAGCTTTGTTTTGCCAAAACCTAAATGTTAAGTCGGCAACACTTTCAAATGCCACTTCTTGTTGTGGCACTGTAGTAGAATCATCACCAATGGCACGCTGTGCACCTAAGTGTGAAAAGACATAGCAATCTTTGTTATGCCAAAACCTAAATGTTAAGGTAGCAACACTTTCAAATGCCACTTCTTCTTGTCACACCCGTCTGAAGACGATACCTTGATCTCATAAAATAAGTATACAAGTATATTATTGATAGGTAGAAATGGATCCATATCACATTTGCAGAAATAGTAGTTAAATATGTTTTTTCTTTTTTATCGAATTTGCCTTTTTGCTTATACCTTAATGTTTTTCCAATCTTCACATTCTAAAAAAGGAGGAAATTTTGTTTGTACTGATCTTTTTTCATATGGGACTATTTGATTTTAAAAATTAAACCTGTGTTTTTTTTATTTTTAAATAATAAAATATCACAATTTCATGATTATAGTTACATATATTTTTGGGTGAAAACTGAACTTGCTATTTGTTACTTGTATTAAAATCCATTGGGCTCATTGGCTAACCAATAAGCACGCCCGGACTTGTGTCAATATTTGATAGCAGACTCTTGCCCCAGAATCATTGATAAACAAATGTTTATGTGACTGTAAGATTGTGTATCCACTTTTTATATGCAGTTCGTCTTTAAGATTGTCTACCTTGAAAGAAATCATGCATGCTCCATTAACAATCAGGCCTTACACTTTGGTATATTTGCATCGCTAGAGATCTCTGGGGATGTTCGGGTCCAGGGTGTACTCAGGGTATGTAGGTTCGGTTCTTGTTGATAAGGCCATTAGCGTGAGCGATAATGCGCATGGGGTGAGTGGGTGCAAGTTCTTACTTCCGGCTATGTGGGACCCCCAGATTTCTGCTTGCTCAACACTGGTTTGATGCAGGGGGGGAGGGGGGAATCTGGTGTGAGCATGTGTACGAATGTAGATATATGGTGGCAGATAATAGGGTTTTGGAACTTGGGTATAGTGAGGCTGGTTGTCTTAAATTCTGTTCCTTGCAAAAAATGTGAGAAAAATGTTAATTGAGATTATATTGCTTATTATTGTAAAGGAACTTTCTTTTGGGAATTAGATTTCTGTACCGAAAAGTAACTTTTCAGAATCATTCCTCATTTTTTTCATCAATCTTTTTTGTCACTCTAATTTTTAAAGTTTATTTTCGCAAAAGGCTCTTATTAATTACTTCCCCACGGGCATGTTTGGTATGTGGGTTTGGGGGGGTTTTGGATCCTGGTTGGGGATTAAATCCCCTTAAACCCATGTTTAGCAATTATGCATTTAGTTCAGGATTTGAAACCCAGCTCGGTCATGAAACCCACATACTTGGATTTCATGAAACCCGGGGGTGGGTTGGTGGGTGGATTTTATATGTGGGTTAATGGGTTTAATATACAAATGACATTTATAACCCCATAAATCCTATATACTCCATATATACTCAATAGTCATATATATATTATCATAATAGTCATATATCCTTGCGCATACCAAACACGGATATGGACAACATTGAGGTTTGGACAAGCCAATCCAAACTCCTCCTAAAAAACATACCAAAAAGGCCACATATGTTTTGTTGATTTGTGCCTTTGTTTAGAGCTTAAGATGATGAAATAATCTCTTATCGTTGCGTTGTGGTTCAATGAGATAAAGGGTTCAACATTTTAGGAAGTGTTGAATCTTCCACCTGCTATGTGCACTATACAATTGTACCTTTGAAATTGTGGTCCTGTAAAGAAATAGTTAAATGTGAATTGTTCTAAATATGTCCACGCTATTCCATGTGTAGGTGCTTACAGCAATGCTTAGAATTTCAAATAATTGAAAGTGTGAGATGGTTCTACGATCGCTTTAACTGGGGGTGTGCAGTGAAAGGAAGTTAGTTCTTTGTCTGCTACTAAATTTGTAATCTTTTTAATGAAAATAATGTTTTTTTTCCCCATGTTGCCTGGATAAACACTTCCCATCCACTTAAATAACATATTTGTACTTCAATTCTAATGTTACCTCCCTCCTTTGATAGATGTGCTCATATTCTTTTCCAGGAAACAAATCATATACTAAATTTATCATATTTAGAGTGTAGTAATCATGTATAGTCTACATTTCATATGTTTTTCTGTCAATGAAGGCTGAGCCTCCATTGAAGCAAGTTTTAGACAATTTGAAGCTGACAAATTTGGTTAGGTGCCTGAGATTCTTATTTGTATATATATTGCTTTGAATTATGCTGACTTCTATTTCCAATTTCATTTTTGCAGAAGGCTTTTGTGGCCACTGATGATAGACCGAAGGAGACAAGTCAGCTTTGGAGATTCCCCAATCAAGCTAATGGGCCGGATATCACAACCATATCCAATGCTGTGAAGCCACAATCGCATCCTTCCGTGACAAAGCCTAATTTGGCATCTATTTCTATCGATAAGCCTGACCCACGACGGGGAATTTCTTCTGATAATGGCTTTGGGTTCACTTTTCCTGTTTCTGCATCTTCTGATGTACTATTGGAACCACCAACACCGTCAATCATGCCCTTGTTTTCGGCCACTGGTCTTCCTCAGCAGCCCGCACTTCCTTCTTACAGTTTCGGCACCAAGAAGTCTGCCAAACGCGTTGTTTTCTCGTTTCCTTCTTCGAGCAGTGCCTCTGCCCACGATGATGCTTCGGATATTAAGTTCAGCTTCGGATCAGACAAGAAGAATAGGATATCTTTCACTTCAATTGGGAAAGATGCCATCTGCTATTAAATATTATGGTGCTGAGCATTCTTGTTTCTCTTGAGGGATCTTTGTTGAATTCTTTGTCTGAAAGAAGCTTTATCAACACTTTGTGATACGCTTTTCTCATTTTAAGAAAACTGATTCATTTCTCATATGCTATAACCTCAGCAATTAAAGAGCTGATGATCAGCATGTTCTCTCTCTCTCAAGGATCAAAATTTCATCTCGCCGAGTGTTTCGGTCACTCAGTAAAAGAATGTGTTTCGGAAATATTTTGAAACATTTCGGAAACATAATGAAATAAAATAAAATAATTTAAGATTTATTTTTTTAAAATATTGGTTAAATTATACTAAAATACCTTAAAATACATTGAAATATATCGAAACAATTGTGTAAATATATTGAAATATAATAAAATATTATAAAAATTTTGAATTATTAAAATTTTGATTTTATTATTAATTCATTTCGGACGTTTTGAAATGAAATTTTGATTTTTGCTCTTTCTCTCTAACACAGTGATGGGGCATTTTGTAGAAGTGTTAGCATTTTAGTAATTGGTATTAGAGTAGGTATCACGTTGTGAGTTCGATTCAGGGATAAGTTAACTTATATGTTAGATTACAATGCTATGATATAATGTATATAAGGATATGTGATAAATCATTCAATACAGATACTGAGTGCAAGTTGCCAAAAGAAAAAAGATTACCATTGTGTTAGTATTGATAGAGTGGCAGCCTAATAAAAGTACATGTCTCTGTGTATACATATATAAATACACATATACAAAGTCAAATTATACCTTTTTATTTCTTTGATTAACTTAATTACAAAATACGATTTTAACTCCTTCATTTTCACTTGCCAAAAAAAAAGAGTATTGTTATTTGAATATCCCAATGATAGAATCGAATCGGTGTAGTTATAATAATATTTCTATTAGACCATATCATTGGTTAATAAATTAGATAAAATTGTTAGAAATATATAATATTAGTTTAAAAAAAGAATCCTCCTTATGGACTACTCTTTTCATTTTCTAGTTCACAAATTAAGCAAATGGAGAGAAGAGAACATAATAAGACGGAATGAACATTTAAATTTTGTATTGAACAATTTTGCCGTATCGATATTCTAATCGTAAAGGTTTAACTAGATAATCCAAAAAAGTTTTTTGAAGCACCACATCATTTTTTATTTAATAATAATATGAAAAATGTATAATTATTTTATTTTATCAATTTTTAAATGAATTTATAATTATAATTTATTTTATAATATAATAACTTAAAAAACTTTTTGGTACTACAATCTTATCTATAATCTTAAGGAGTACTTTACGGGACTTAAAAAAAAAAATAGATTGTACCTCGATTTATAATTTTTGTAAATGTATTTATTATTTTTATGGTAACTATTTTTACAACTTTTGTGGTTCCATGCAATCACCGCTAAAATGTTAGGATTGATCGCAAGGTACCACACAAGTGGTAAACACAATTAATGCAAAAGTTAAAAAAATATCTACAAAAGTTATAAATTACTTATAAAAATTATAATTTTTTTGTTATAAAATAAACCATAAAAATATTTATTAAAATTATAAAATTTAGAGGTATGTCATCGATTTTTTTTTTTTACTACCGTTGTCTTTTTCTAATCTTAATTGTCACACACACATAAACCCCCCTGACAATGACGCAAGACCAATTTATCTTGATGCCATTAGATATCCAAAATGGTCTAACTTATCTATCTACAGGTGTCTTCTTCTCCACAGGCAAAGAGAGGTAAACAATAAAAATAGAAAGAAAACTACCAGCATAAACCGCTCAAAACAAATCTTTTGTTCAACACCTGTTGTCTTCTTTTCATCCCTAATCCAAATCTCTGCAAGATTTTAGGACGCTAGATACCCATCAAAAGTTTGAGAGAGAAAATAACATTTACAGAGAGAGAGTTTTGTAGAATGTATATATGTATACATAAATATAGTTAAATAGTTGGTTAAGCTTCGTGTTGTGTCTTGTTTTTTTTTAACTGTTTTGGGTTTTTGAAATTTGGGTAGGGTGGAAATGGCGAGCTCTGTCAAGAAGGACGAAATTGTCTCCTTGGAACTGCCTGCTCCAGCTAGTTGGAAGAAAAAGGTCTCTCTCTCCACGACTATGCAAATTTATGTGTATTCTCTTTTTGCAGTGTTAATCTTTTGATACTAGAATTGATTTTTCAAGCTTTAATGGTTACTTCTTGGGTGAATTGGGTTCTGGGTATTTGCAATTCTGTGGAATTATGTGGTTCTGAGGTAAATTTGATGGATTAGTGGTGGTGGTGAAGCTAGGGCTTGTATATTCTTATAGTTGAATATTTGTAGCCTTTTGCTTTAATTGTTGTTTAATGGTGTCGATTGGGTTCTGGATTAAACATATGTTTTTATGTGCTTCTGCGGTAGAATTGATTCTGAGTAGTGGTGGTTTTGGAGCTAGGGCTTGTGTTCATATTTTCTAATCCAGGTGAATTATAGTGTGAAATTATGTGAGGGTTCGAATTTACACCAATTCTGTATAGGAGACATGAAATCTGGAATTGGATAGATTTGCTTTGCACCCATTCCCAGGGTTAGGTTATTCCTGGTGTGATTTGGGTGCTATGAATTTCACACAATGCTTGGTGGGGAATGAAGCCTTATAAGGGAGGAAAATATAAATTGGAATGAGTTTAGGTAACAGTTGATGATCTGACGATACAGCTGCATTGGAACTCTCCTCAACTGAAAGAGTTTCATACTTTCATCCTTATAGCTGACACTGAATATTGTGATGAACTGGTGATACTTGACCTGCTCTGCAGTGATTGATGGGAGATATCTACGCTTGACTGCGTAGAATATAGATTACTGTGGTTTCTGAATGGGAAAATCGTCCAAGTTTCTCTTTGGATTTATTATATAGGGTGTTGTCTCATAACTTATTTTAGACTAGTCCCTTTTTGAAGTTCTCATTGATGGTTTAAGATCGTTTGGCCCTCAAAACCATAGGCAGAGTCACTTGAGGAACAGTGGGGTGATTACATGCCCACCCCTAATTTTTTTTAAAAAAAAATTACTTATGTATATTTTAAATAATTTTAAGTATACTTAAATGTGCTCACTCTATCATTTTTTGTTCTATCAATTAGTGTACTCTCATATCTAAATAACTATGAATTTTTTGACACACTTTGGACACTTATCGATCCATGTAGATAAGTTTTTGACATGTCAGACTCATCTTTTTAGCTCTAAAGATTGTGAAAACTAGGTTGCATAACTGAATGAGTTGTCAATGACTAATAGTTTGATTGATTGTTTTTTATATAGTTAGCCTCATTTGTTTTAAGGGTTTTTTATTTTTATTGATTGGGAGAAAAAATTAAAAAGTTTCTAGGCAAAGTGTCCACCCTAGACGAAATTTTTGGCTCCGCCCTGCTCAAAACCCTTCCAATGATCAATACCTCTGCCTTGGCTTGTTATGAGGTAGTACTGTAGCACTGGAGAAGAGAACACTTTATGACCCCTCGGCCAACTACGTTTGGCAGTGATTACTAAGGAGTCAAGTTGAAATTTCTTTCTCAGATTTCCCCTTTCCACTTTTATTTCATCAGTTTGGGGAAATTTTAAGGATTATCTGGTGTCGACATACTTGGTTATCATTTAGATTCTCCCAGTTGCAAGCATGGTAGTATTTGCTAGAACTGAATCAGTCTCGAAAAAGTTTAATCGGGTATTTGTCTGTGGGCATCTCACTCTTTTTTTTGAACTGTGGGCATCTCATATAAAACACTGAAATTTCCCAACTAACCAGTGACTGAAAACTCAGTATTTCTGAAACACATTTAGGGAAGAGAATGTGGCAAGATTTGGGACGAATAAAATTATGTAGATGAAAAAATGCAACTTGAAGTTTTTGAGAAAGAGAATATTGGAGGATAACACACCCCTCAAAATGTGCAACAATAAGTAGCCAAATAAAGCTCTGTCGAGTGTTGGATTACATGAAAAGATTAGCCTGACTTATTTGAAGCTGGAAAAGGAGAAATATAATTGAAATCGGAAGTTATATATTGTTCATATCCCTAAAAAGGAGTGAAGAAGAAAAAGGCCACCAACATTATGCTTCTAATTGAATATCATAGTATTTCTTGAATTTCATTTCACACTCATAGAATATGCTTTCAACAAGAACTTGTAGAAAATATTGTAGAGAATGTCAGAATTATTAAAAAAATTGGCCCAGTGTTGGTGCACTTTTACTGAAATGGCTTTGTTCCAGATAGGAGGTGTTATTCAAAGAGGGTTAAAGATATACAGAACACAAAATAAATTTCGTGATCAGAGGATCTACACATCGTGTGAAATTTCTTCAAATTTTTTTCTTCGTTGTATGAAATTCTCATGTCCTCAAATATTTACTAGGATTACAAGTATTTGAAGTATATAGTATACTTTGGGATGAATTTGCAGATTTACATGTTCATATTGCTTATTGAGTTTATGTAGGAGCTTAAGTTCCCTGGTTTTATGGGAGAAGAAAAAGATGTCGAATTGCATGGAAATGAAATGAACATACAATTCAAATGCATAGCACAATGAGATGATTCTGGATGTCCCTGGTATCCAAATTACTTTTGGATAAATGAATGCATCAGTAAGGTATTCGGTGGTGGAAAATTTCCTTGTATTATATACTGCCTCTAGGACTTTGATGAATTGGTGTATCTTTGAAATCCTCTGAAAAATAGAAAACGTGGTTAGAATGTTTAACATGGGACTTAACTTAGATCCCATGCAGATGGTCTATCATCCGTACTTCGTGCATCTTCTTATGTTCTGCTGCATTTTTTCTCACGTTCCGCCTGTGTCATGTTTAGTGCCCTATTTTATGCTCAGCTGGACGACACAAACCACAATAGAAAGATGGAAGTACAAAACATTGATCTGTATCAAGAGGTTGAAGAATACATATAAAATATTAAAATAAGGAAGG